AAAAAAAAAAAAAAAAAAAAAAAAAAGAAGAAAAAAATTACTGTAATTATTTATTGCAAATTAGGTGAGTTTTAAGAAGAGAAATTTTCAACACCTTTTCTCTTTTTTTGTTAAAAAGTACAAAAAAATTTTGTACATAGAAAACTTTACATTTAGTCGGCAGCTTCTTTTCTTTTTTCTTCTTTCAGTTTTATGTTACGTTGTTTTTTTTTCGCTGATTTATTCGTTGTCTCACGAAAAAAATAAAGATACTTTTTTAACAACTACGATTTACAAATAAAAGATTAAGCTAAATTGCACTTAAATTTACATTCTAACTGTATAGCTGAGAGTTTTATTCTGAAGACACAGCAACAGATGAATATGACAAACGGCGACACGAACAAGTAAAATTTTTGAATCTCATAGTTTATTTAATTGTTGCACGTCGTATTCAGATGTCAATCAAAAATACTTTCTATATGCCAAATAAACCAGATAGATCTTCAAAATTTCTTCTGATTAGTTTTGTCTCTTGATCACATTCCACTGTAAAATTTTAGAACTTTTTAGTTATGAAACTTTTTTTTAGCAATCACCATTCATCTAAACGGCAAAATTTATTTATACATCAAATTTTCAATTTTTTTGTGAATTGCAAACTTAGAGCAATGAAAAAATTTTAGTACCAACTGTAATTTAAAGGAATTTTTTGATCAGCTCAATAATACCAGCTATATTGCTGAGTTTAATCTTTTAACTTGAAATTCTATTTGTCGGGTAATAAAAATTTTGCCTTTTTAATCTTGATCTAAACTTATCATTTTTTAGAAACCTGAACCATGAAACCGCAAATGCGAAAGATGATGGAAATGGAAGACTACTTGCAAAATATAGCCATCGATGAAGTTTGTCTGTTTACTTTTAATTGGCTAAAACTTGATGACAAAAAAATTTTTGAGTACTTTTATTTTACAGAAATTTGTTTTCAGAAATCCAGAAACAATGTTGCTGTTTATCTGAAACTGTATATGCAATTCCTCACTGAATCTGCAACTATTAAATGGTCTGACATGAAGCCATTAGGCTTCAGTCATGAAGTTGACTATGATGCATTGCCGACAGCTGATGGCTATGAGGATGAAATTCTAAAACGGATATGTGTTTTAAAGTTAAACGGTGGCCTCGGAACCACTATGGGATGTTCCAGCCCGAAGTCACTGATCGTTGTTCGTGGCGACTTAACCTTTCTCCAAATTGCAATTAAACAAAATGAGGTTTTCTTGTTGAATGTCTTGTTTCCTGAATTTTTTAAGTTTAGTTCAGTTCTGAGAATTTTTTGTCTTAAAATTATCATATTATTCTACTAAATATTAGGACATTTATTTACAGTAGCAGATTATAACTTACCATAAGTTACGCGATACTGTTACTTTTAGGGGCAGCGTTACCAGTAGCAATATTTTTTTAAATGAACATTTTTGGTACTTTCTTTCTTGTTTTTTTGAAAAACACTCTATTTCCTCTTATTCAGACTATAAAACAGAAATACGGCACTGAAGTACCTTTGATACTTATGAACAGTTTTAATACAGAATCAGCGACGTTGCAGTATCTTGAAGATCATAACAAAAATCTACGCTGTTTTGAACAAAGTAAATGCCCAAGAATTGATGCTGCCAACCATAGGCCAATTTTTTTGGACAAAAATTGCGATGAGAATGAAAAGTAATGGTTAATCACGGATCAGTTTTAATGGAACTAAAAATATTTCCTCTCATCTACATGTATCTAAATTTAAACGCACTTGCTTTTTAGTACATTAACCGTACAGTAAAGCAATAGTGAATGGTGATGACTTTGAAAACGTTTATACTTGATACTTGAAGGTGGTATCCGCCAGGACATGGAAACGTTTTCCAGTCAATGGCATTCTGTGGATTACTAGACGAGTTAATTGCCAAAGGTAGAGATATCTGTTTCATATCAAACATCGACAATACAGGAGCTACTACAGACCTCAGAATTGCTAAATTCATGATAGATTCAAAAACTGAATACGCTATGGAATGTACGCAGAAAACGCTAGCAGATATCAAAGTAAAGACTTTTTGAATACTTTTTTACATCAGAAGTTTATGTGAAAGAGGTAGTGCTAGTCAATGTAGCGTTTGCTGTATCCTTTACACCACAAATCTAGTCTTTAAAAAATGAAGTAACTGCTTTTAATTAGAATTTGAACGATTGAATTAATTTGAAAATTCAAAAATTTTTTAAAAAGTGATAGAAGCGTTAGAAGACAATTTTAGTTGAAAAAAATAAGGAACAAAATTCCATTTCTTATTAGCAATTGCAAAGCATTTGCAGCTCTGCAACCAGATGCAATTTCTGCACTTTCTTAACGGCACGGGAAACACTGCATCTGCTGATCAGCTGGTTAAGTGTAAATAATGTCATTTGTAGCAAAAGATTATCAGAGTTGCAGAAAAGATAAAATACATGAAGAGTGTTAATGCAAAAACATTTACACTTGCATGTAATTTTTTTTTGCAAAATTAAGTTGAAAATCTCTAGTGTTTATACTCTTTAATTGAGCTAGGTAAACCACGAAAGAGTAAATTGAAATATACTGCTCTTTAAGTCATAAATATTGTGTCTATTTATGAAAAAATTATTCAGGAAATAAGAGACTATAATTTAAGCGTCAATTGCCTATTGTCAATACGGTAGATGTCTTTAATATTTGTCTTTAATACGGTTGTAAAAACGTTATCTGCCGGTTGGTCATGTCATAACCACTTGAAGAGGCACTGGTTTGACACGCAAAAAAAAGAAAACAACAAAAATGTTAAATATCTCCACTGTTCTCTGATTTATTTGATTTTGTTAATGTTGAAAGTGACGTTTGTATGGGTAGAGTTGCATCAACTGGGCAGAAGTTAAATCATGGAGACAAAAAGACGTTTAGGAACATCAGAAGTAAAAATACAGTGCACTGCTGAGTTTATGGCGCAATAAAAACATTGAAGGGGTTACTTGCGTCAGTTTTTTTAAAATTGTTTTGTAATACGAAGCAAAAAATTATGCACCTAACCAAAAATCCGCCTTGTTTGGTTTAAAACCGACTATCTAGCAGTGATAGTAAGTGGTTGAACTCATCTTCAAATACCAAAGGTCATTCAGCGGTAAGGACTACTGTTAAGTTCTTGATGTCCGAAGTTGTAAGATAAAGATTTAGTGAAGTACCTCCATCAACTTTTTGTATCGCAAAATTTTTGCTTACGGTGCTGCAAAATTTAATTTTTAACTCTTATTATATGATCAGTA